GATGCGCGTACCGCTCTTAAGAGCATGAAAAGAAATATCTTTACCAACATGGCGTAGGAGTGCCTTGCCAATACTGTGGTCAGAAAGATAGGCAGTAGAGGAAGTCGGTCGTAAAGTGAAGAATTTAGTCCATTGTGCAGTCTGAAACTGAGCGTGGAAAGGTAGTGAAGGATGTGTCGATCTTTTCTGAGAAGAACGAGAAGGTGAAGTATCATCAGCAGGTAAATGTCGTTGGCGTTTAGGCGTGGGACCAGAGTTGGTCCGACGTGGAACGGGCCGGCGATTTGAAAATTGCCGCACCGTAGAGGGATTATTATTATTATTATAATCAAGGGGGAAGCGCTAAACCCGGAGGATTATACAGCGCCTGGGGGGGGGGATGTGGAAGGCATTCAGGCTTAATTCGGGGAACTGGAGCACAGATCTAATTCCCTAAATCAAGAGCCCCTCACCAACATCAAGGAACCTTCCTTGAGGGGACCGTAGAGGGAGAGGCCGGAAGCATAGTCAGAGGAGAGCGAAGGTCAGATAAATCGAAGGAGTCAGTCGAGGCCTCAGTACCTGAAGCGGGTGAGGAAACAGCACCGGCAAGAGGTACAGAGGCATGAGGAGTGTCCGAAGAGTGGTCCAAAGACGAGGCGGGGTCAGAAAGGGGTGCGGTATCAAGGAGGAGCCCGGGGGTAGCAGGTTCATGGACTAGGGCTGCCATGGTTAGGTTACTTCTTTCTTTTTGTTTTTAAGAAAAAAAAAAGAAAAAAAAAAAAAAAAAAAAAAAAAGGGGGGGACCAGGGAGAGATAGTTCCTAGGAGGAATGAAAGGGCCAGAAATCTCCCTCCGCGCCCAAGAGGACCTCAGCACCGCAAGTAGCGCAGATGCAGCATGGAACCCGTGCCATACCCTACCCATCATGCCAGTAAACCGGCAATCCGGGATAGCAACCTCACATCTGGATAAAAGAGAGGGCGGCCGGAAATCCGCCACAAAGCATACCTCCTTCGGCCACCACCCCCGGAATCCGAAAGGTGGCTTCCAGAGATACACCCGTCGCCCGAGACACACCCAAAGCCACCCTCCGGGATACCGGAGAGGGATCAGGACATCCCCAGGCAATCCAGATTCCACGGCAAACTACGCCACTGCCAAGAACCTCAACGGAATGGGATGGACCCCGGTACCCTTTCCCCTACCTAGGAACTAGCGTGCCTGTGGGAAAAAAAAAAAAAAAAAAAAAAAAAAAAAAAAAAAAAAAAAAGGCCAAAAAGAAAGGGCAAAAGGGAGGGGTGGGGAGGATGGGATAGGGAACGGGGGATTGGGGGGTAATTAGGTTCGGTCTGAGGAAGTAGACCGACAGGTCTAATTCCTCAGACCAAGAGCCTCTTCACCATGCCAAGGAGCCCCCCTTGAAGAGGTCATCTTTGATAGGATCGAAAAGGGACTACTATACTCACGTTTATGTATTGCCTTTGAGGGAAGGCATCAACAAAGTTACAAGATAGGGGTCTGACAAAGCTACCCTTAACCATTGTATTTTTTTTTCTTAAATTGTTTGTTCGAAAATCTTTGTACAAACACTTCAGGTTTCTAATAATAATCATAGATTTTGCTCAATTTTTAATGAGAATAGAGACCAATCTAATAAACAAAATATGCATGTTTGTATCCAGCTTTTCAGTGTTAAATAATTGTAGCATCTAAGATCAACAAAATTCAGTAATGTAAAAATTCAATATTGAAAACTGTATCCTTTATTGCAGGCTAAAACTTTGTAATAATGTTGGTAGAATTACCAACAATATGTTAGGTAAAAGAACATGTGGAACTAATGTGACATTTTATTTGGCAATGTTTTGCTTGACAAAGCTCCTGGGGAATGAAACGATACCACAATAAAATGTCACATTAGTTGCACATGTCCTTTTATTTTGAATGAAAAAGGAATACACAAAATTAAATAAGGTTTTAGAAAAAAAAATTGGATAGAAAAAACAGTATTGGATTAGGATATATCATGGTAAAAGCTGACATTCCATCAAGTCGAGACAATATGCCCAGACTGATCACAACTATAGTTTGACCCCTAAACCTCAAAATGTACACAAATCATTTGGCTCTACATCTATAATGTCAATTTATTTGATTTTTGCATATATGAATCAATTAATCAAGAGGCTTGAACATTCTTAATTTAAAGATATCCACCACATACATGGTAAGTCTACATGTTAATCCTGCTGGACCTTAATCATCTTCAAACATTGTGTTGACTTCAGAATCCTGAATCAGGTATGAAGTTATGATACAATGAAAATGGGTGGTGTGCATTATGATATATCTGGGAAAGATTGAAAATATATTTACATAAGTTTGATCTGATGGTTCAAAAGAAGAATGATAGATAATTTTTTTATTAGAATTCCTAGTAACACTACCTTATCTAATTTGTCATTACCTTTATTAATGCATCTCTTATTAGTATATGTATTATAATTAAACTACTGAAAAACTCAAAATTTGTGCTCTCTGGGGAAAGTTCTATATATGTAATACAAAGAAATAAAATGACTGAATTCCTAATGCTTTTCATATATCTAGGAAAAATTTAACATTTTTGAAACAAGTGGCATTATTATTCAGTCAAAGAACTTTTGCCGACAGAATATGGAAAAGTGAAGCACAGCCCATAATTATGGTACATAAGCTCACAATATACAACAGACCATTATTTAACACAGGTTAAATAATGAAAATTGCATTAACATATTCCCCCCCCCCCCCCCCCAAAAAAAAAAAAAAAAAAAAGGTGGTAGCCATGTTGTGAAGCAGTATAGTATATTGTTGACCATGTAATGAACTCCCTGATTACTGTTTAAGCTCTCAGAATATGTGAACAACTGTAATTTTTAAAGCCAAATTTCTTTTTTACCAAATTTTACCAAACTAATAGGAACCTGCCACATCTACATTAAATGAACATATACCAGTGATAAATACATTTGATAAAGAGTAATGAGGAAAACCAAAATGACAAGATGCAGTGTCAGGAGGATGTGTGAGGATGTGAAATAGATATTTTATTAGCCAACACTCCACATACCTGAATTGTCAGTACAACTTTTATTTGACATGATCTGCACAAAAGGGGCTAGTGTTTAGTGGACAAATGAACAAGAGTGTTTAAATACTGTATAGATAATGAGGGAGTGTGGGGACTCCCCACTGCCACTCCTCAGCAATTTACACCTAGATGAACAGCAGTAGCAGCATTAAGGAGACTTGTGCATGTCTTGCCTTGTTTTGTTAGACCACTAAACACTTAGTTTCACTAAGCAAGGCACGGAGAGTTTCTGAAAATATACATGCTGGGGGTAGTCAGTTGACTGTTGTGGTAGCCTCTAAGGATCATCTACACCAAACATCTTGTTTACACACACTTTCTTGTTCTTAATGTCACTAGCATGGATGTAAAACTTCAGAATTACATCCTGAGTAGACATCACCAGAGAAGGGATGGAAATATGTAATTTAGTGTATTTTATTGTACACTTGTGGATGTTTGGTTAATCTTTTATTGTGTACTGAATATTCTCTTAACTGTCTGGATAATGGGGTTCTATAATAATTCAAGCATTGTAAGTGATAGAAGCTTAGGAAAACATGAGTAAAGTCAGAATGGGAACCATCTAGTGGGTATTAACATACATGAAATTTTCTAATTCAGTAGGCTCCAGCAGGCCACCCAGCCACAAGGCAGGCACATTGAAAAGATCAGTGATGTTTCACAGCATATAAAAAAGCAAGTGTTTTAATAATCAGTTTTTTGTGTTATACTTTCTAATACATGTAATAAAATCATACAAACTTAGGTTGTGTAATATAAGGGTTTACTGTACTATATACCACTTCTAAATTTTATGGTTAACTGGATGGCACACTATCAAAATGTCTCTTCTGTCAGAGTGTAATTACTGTGTTTGTGTAATTAAGTAAAGTTGTCGTAAGATGAAGAGAGCTTATGCTCGTTGTAAGTTTACCATACAGTGTAAATTTTAATTTTAAATGGTTTTTGGCACAATTTTTATTTCATTCCAGCCATCCACCATCATATTCATAAAGAAATATTGTCAAGTACCTCTTTTTACACATTTTTGATAAATTTATATGTAGTTATACCACTTCTTTCTTATAACAACAGCATTTTCAGTGACTAAGCTTTCTTCATAACTTATACTTCTCAGACTTGGAATGCATTTTGTTGCATATCTTTGAATGTTGCCTACTTTAATTACAGTATGTTTTACAAGGTGCAGACACCATACCACAATTTTACAAGGTGCACACGCTATACCACAGCAGCTGCATAATGCAATTTTGTCTAACGTGTTATGAGGAAAAAAATGTTTACATGGATTGCATTACTAGTTCCTGGCTTTGTGTGGGTTTTCACAGGAGTCAAGACATAACTCCTGGCCCACATGCTCATGTAGACTGGGGAGAAGGCAGCCTAATTATATCAACACATGTGATAACAATAAGTTAGAAGACATTACAAACACATGTTATTGCTTGGTCTTCATTATCATTTGTTACTAATGGTAATATTTTAGATTTCTGCTAACTCAAATTTTCCAAAATTGGCATTAAATACGCAGCACCCAATATACTACTAGCAATTTACTTTAGAAGTAGAAGCAGATCTATGATGTATAACAACATTGTCCATGACTACAAATGTATACCTTAATCACATCTTAAAAAATGAAGTATAATTAATGAATTTAAAAAAGTAACTATTTACAGAGACATCTTTTCTTATAAAATAAATACAACTTAAAAATGTCAAGTTTTCTTTAAAAAAAATATTCATCTTTTGTTGTAGAGAGATGGTAAGTGTTGTAAATAAAGTTGCAATGACTTTGCTGCCGGTTAAGCCTTCTTGGCCTCAAATCAGAAATTTCACCGATTTTTTTTATATCACAAAATTTTCCACCCACATCATCTGTAACACTTGAAATACCAATTGCCATTAATTCTTTCATTGGATGACTTTTTCTTGAAGGAACTGAACACTGTTTTGGATTCTGAGACCTCTTTTTAAGTCTAGCTGCTATCTCCCTTGTGTCTGGAGAGTCCACCTGAGGATAGAGGTGCTCTATGCAGGAGTCACAGTGGCGCGAATGGGGTGGCCGTATGTCAGCTGCTTCTGTCTGTAAAATGAAAGAATGCTTGTAATATTTACCTGCACATTCCGATTAGCAAAAAGCAAAAACTGTAGAAAAGTACTTCTGAAAGGCATAGATAATAAAAGTTTAAATGTTCCTCAAGACATGCTTTTTTTTCATTTACTTTCTCTACATTACATACAAAATTTTATAATATAGCAAATTCTCTCACATTCAAGATTTTTCCAATATTCTCTTCCTACTCTTGTATCTGTGTCACTCCCACCCTCCTTATGACTGATCCAGTCATAATTTCTATATTTCAACCAGGTAGTTTACAGTATACAAACAAATAGTAGGGCTCTGCTTTACGGCACTTTGCTTTACGGCGTTGTGCTAACAGACATTTCAAATTATGACCAAAACTCACTATCTGGCTACCCCCCCCCCCCACATGACTAATATGGTCACTGCTCACCACTCGGTTTGTTTACATTTTCCAAGAGCACCGCATCTCTCCACTATGTCTGGAAAGTTTCCAAAATTTCAAGTTTTAAAGTTATTTTATGTTTTACATATACATACTGTACTCTGAAAAATTATACTTATGTGTACCTGTACCTAAAATACACTGTGCTGGCATGCAATTCCACATTAAAATCACTGAGTGTCTTATTAGTCTTAAAGATGCCATAATAATAATAATAATAATAATAATACACAATAATAATCGCTGTGAGGCACATTAAATGTCATATACATATTACATTTTATTTATTATGGGGAATCAAATTCAAAATGGGAATTGACACAGTTACTTTTTGCTGATGATACTGTGCTTATGGGAGATTCTAAAGAAAAATTGCAAAGGTTAGTGGATGAATTTGAGAATGTGTGTAAAGGTAGAAAGTTGAAAGTGAACATAGAAGAGAGTAAGGTGATGAGGGTATCAAATGATTTAGATAAAGAAAAATTGGATATCAAATTGGGGAGGAGGAGTATGGAAGAAGTGAATGTTTTCAGATACTTGGGAGTTGACGTGTTGGCAGATGGATTTATGAAGGATAAGGTTAATCATAGAATTGATGAGGGAAAAAAGGTGAGTGGTGCGTTGAGGTATATGTGGAGTCAAAAAACGTTATCTATGGAGGCAAAGAAGGGAATGTATGAAAGTATAGTAGTACCAACACTCTTATATGAATGTGAAGCTTGGGTGGTAAATGCAGCAGCGAGGAGACGGTTGGAGGCAGTGGAGATGTCCTGTCTAAGGGCAATGTGTGGTGTAAATATTATGCAGAAAATTCGGAGTGTGGAAATTAGGAGAAGGTGTGGAGTTAATAAAAGCATTAGTCAGAGGGCAGAAGAGGGGTTGTTGAGGTAGTTTGGTCATTTAGAGAGAATGGATCAAAGTAGAATGACATGGAAAGCATATAAATCTATAGGGGAAGGAAGGAGGGGTAGGGGTCGTCCTCGAAAGGGTTGGAAAGAGGGGGTAAAGGAGGTTTTGTGGGCGAGGGGCTTGGACTCCCAGCAAGCGTGCATGAGCGTGTTAGATAGGAGTGAATGGAGACGAATGATACTTGGGACCTGACGATCTGTTGGAGTGTGAGCAGGGTAATATTTAGTGAAGGGATTCAGGGAAACCGGTTATTTTCATATAGTCGGACTTGAGTCCTGGAAATGGGAAGTACAATGCCTGCACTTTACAGGAGGGGTTTGGGATATTGGCAGTTTGGAGGGATATGTTGTGTATCTTTATACGTATATGCTTCTAAACTGTTGTATTCTGAGCACCTCTGCAAAAACAGTGATAATGTGTGAGTGTGGTGAAAGTGTTGAATGATGATGAAAGTATTTTCTTTTTGGGGATTTTCTTTCTTTTTTGGGTCACCCTGCCTCGGTGGGAGACGGCCGACTTGTGGAGAGAGATAGAAAAAAAAAAAAAAAACACAGCAGGGCCCCGCTTTACAGCGTTTCACTTTATGGCGTTCCGCTAATACGGTCATTTCAAATTATGACCAAAACTCGCTATACGGCTCCCCCACCTGACTTTCTAATACGGTCACCGCGCCCCAATTTGTTTGTTTACATTCTTCGTGAGCTCAGTAAGCACTAAGTCTCTCCATTTTGTCTGGAAACTCCAAAATTTCAAATGTTTTTAAAAGTTATTTCATATTTTATATATACTCTGATAATTATACTTATGTATACCTGTACTTAAATAAACTTACATACTGTGCTGGCATGCAGGTACACATTAAAATCAGTAAGAGTGTCTTATGTCTCCAGACGTCATATTAGTAATGATAATAATAATCGAGTCATTTAAATGTCGTATATTACGTTAAATACACATTTTCATTAATCCATCTATGATATTTTTTCAAAATTATATAATAAACACGATACATAACATAAAAAGATGATAAATACACCCCACAATAGAATAAATAAACAAATATGAGATGTGGTAGCCAGATAACTGGTACAAGTGACGCCATATTAGAAATGCTAATGATAATAATAATAATCACCGAGTCTCATTAAATGTTGTATATTTCGTTAATATACACATTTTCATTAATCCATCCATGATATTTTTTTCAAAATTATATAATAAACACGATACATAACATAAAAAGATGATAAATACACCCCACAATAGAATAAATAAACATAAATATGAGATGTGGTAGCCAGATAACTTGTACAAGTGATGCCAAGAATAACATTTTCTCTAATCTAACATAAGAGAAAATGTGTTACTGGGGGTAACTGTAGAAAATTATTCCTTTCGTATGTATGTAAGTAAGTTTATTCAGGTATACACAAATACAGTTACATAGATTATCATACATAACATATGTGTAGAGAACCTAGGATAACCCAAAAAAGTCAGAGTGACTTATTTCCATTGCCTTCACTCAGAGCATCATTTCTCAAAATGATGTTACATGAGAATGGGAGTGTTCTTCTTTATTTATTCTACTGTATCAATGTAGAGACAACCTGTACACAATGTAACTTGTACACAAACGAGACGTGTACACTTCATTTACAAAACTTACCTTCGCCTGGTTTGTTTACATAACTCTGCGCCTGTCCTCTCTCATGCACTCATTCTTTCTCTCTCTCATTTATTCGTTTTATCTCATTTACTTACTCCTGACCCTACATTAAGACTACAAATATTTTAAGGTAAGTAATGAGTGAACTGTATATACATTTTATCACTCTGGGATGCTTAAATGTAATAGAATATTATGTGTAGGTGGGTTGGCCTGGTATGGTAGCCCGGCTGACTACCATACATACCACACTTGATTTTTTACAATAAATACTACTCATCTCACCCTATATTTTAAGGTAAGTAATGAGTGAACTGTATATACATTTTATCGCTCTGGGATGCTTAAATATCATAGAATTGTATGTGTGGGTGGGGTGGCCTGGTATGGTAGCCTGGCTGACTACCATACATACCACACTTGATTTCTTACAATAAATACTACTTGTCTCACCCTAGATTAAGACTATAAATATTTTAAGGTAAGTAATGAGTGCACTATGTGTGTATTGTACTTTTTTATTGTTTTTTGATGCCTGGTTCTATTGCTAACTTAATATATGTTAGTGTAAACTTGTTATCTAGTGTTTGTATGCATTTGTAAGTGGAAAAAAAGGGTGTTCCACTTTACGGCGGTTTCCGCTTTACGGCGGTAGCCTGGAACCTAACCAGCCGTATAAGTGGGGCCTTCCTGAATTACATTAATATAAACATTTTCATTAATCCATCTATGATATTTTTCAAAAATTATATAATAAACATGCTATCTAACAAACATGATATATACACATCACAGTAGAGTAATTATCATAAATATGAGATGTTACGTGTAGATGAACTATATGAACCATAACCAGACGCGTTCATCTGCTTGGTTACATACTATGTATCTCTCTCCTCTCTTATTTACTCATTCTCTCTCTCTCTCGCTCTCTCGTTTATTCATTTTACCTTGTTTACTCACCTCTTACCCTACATTAAGAATACAAATATTTTAAAGTAATGAGCTCACTGTACATGCATTTTATTGCTCTAGAGCACTTTAAATGTCATAGTATATTACATATGGGTGGGGTAGCTACTATACCTCCCACACCTGACTTCCTACAAATAAATATTATTTATCTCTAACCATACATTAAGACCACAAATATTTTAAGTAATGAGTGTACTGTGTGTGTATTTTACTTTTTGTTTTTAATGCCTCGTTCCACTGCTAACTTAATGTATGTTAGTGTAAACTTGTTAGCTGGCATTTATATGCATTTACAAGTGGAAAAAATGGCATCCTGCTTTCCGGTGATGTCTGCTATCCGGCAGTAGCCTGGAACCAAACCTGCCATACAAGTGGGGCCATGCTGGGTTAGTAACTGTTGTGATATTTTCAGAGTACATTAACCATGTACACAATAAAAGATGAAATTAACAATAAAAGCAATGAACATGTATGCTCAACACAAATGAACACTATCCACACCAAGTTAAAATACCAGTTGCTATTTTATCATGATGGCAAGCAAAATGTTTTGTAATTGTGTTATTATAGTCCTTTTTCAACATTATATATACTATCTTGATTATGTACTTCTACTAGACTTTCTGCAACTGGTGTTCTGCCAGCAGCTTTAACTTGATACATCTGTGTAGCCACCCACCAGTAATCATATTTACCATATTATGGGGAGGGGAGGGGGGATCAAAATTTTACCAGAAAATGTTGTTGGTTGTTGTTTTGATTGGATTTTTTTTTTTGTTGGAGAGTACTAAACTCAGAGGTCATACAGCACTGCATGGAGGAATGTGTGGAAGTAGGAACGGACAAAGGTAAAGAGTGGGTTAGGGGTAGGGGTGTGCGAGAGCAATGAAGGTGGGGGTTAGTGCAAGAGGAAAATGTAAATCGAAGTTAGTTCAATAGGCTACTTTATGTTAACAAGGTGAAGAGAGTATTTGTGTCACAGGTTGTACTTTCGAGGTCAGT